CAGCTTCGTACTTTTTGGTCTAATTGGGAAAAAATAGCGAATATAAAACGTAAACCAGAACAGAAATTAATCAATCTTTCACTAAAGTAAGAGGTCTAACTGGACCGTGTACAGTGCTTCCAGCCATTAACATGTAAAATTTCCCTGCATCGGGCGAAAAAAAAAGAATGAACACTTGTCAGAGAGCGTGATGCGGTGTCGCATCACGACTCAGACACAAGTATGGAGTTGAAAACTGTCATTATAAGTTGTAATTTCAACATACTATATTGAGTTGATTAGTAAAAACCCTAGTAGGTATCTAAAAATGGTCATGTTATATTCCTTCAGAGTATTTGTTTTCAAAAAAAACTTTAAATTTTCGACAATCAAGCCAAATCCCTCCTCAATAACTTTCGTAAAGAACTCTTATGAAAATCTAAAAAAATAATTTTGATGTTTTAAGAAGGTAGTGAATATCTGGTGCATTTTTTACTTACCGGATGTTGGATTTCAAGTTTTTAAAAAAATTAAAAACTAACAAAATGCGAGAGTAATTTTTAAAATATTGAAGTGAGCTTGGGGTTTATGATTTTTTAAGTGTTGGTTGGTGTTGGTGATGGGGTTGGTGGGGTTGGTGATGGGTTTCTTCTCTGCCAAAAGCAAGTTGTGTCTACTTGTTCATGTTGTCTTGTACGTTTGTGGCAAGGCTGAGGCTCATCATGACTCTCTCTCTCTCTCTCTCCTCTCTCTTCCTCCTCTTCTCTCTCTCTCTTCTCTCTCTCTCCCCCCTCCCTCTCTCTCTCCTTCTCCCCTCTCTCTCCTCTCTCCCTTTTCCTCCCCCCTCTCTCTCTTTTTTCGCAGTTTACAGAACAAGTGATTTTTCTTTACAGAGAAATAATTTGCATAAAAAATAAATCTTTTCATTTCAAAAAGTGTTGCAGCTTTACGTACTATAGCAAAACCTTTTAAACCCAAAATTTGCCCAAAATATTCAGAAAAATTTATATATATTTAAGGGGAAAAATGCGATTCAGAGTGGGGCCCCAACAACCAGAAACTGGAATACTCAGCCCATTTTAATTTTAAAAACAAGAAGCATCAGTTCCAGGGTTAAGTGTGTATATAAAAGTGGATTATTATTAATTATTAAAATTATAATCAAGGGGAAGCGCAAACCCGGAGGATTAACAGCGCCCGGGGGGGGGGGATGGAAGGCATTCAGGCTTAATTCGGGGGAACTGGGGTTATAAACAGGGAAAACAGTCAATGTCAGACACCTGGTGACCCTGGGACTAGCGGACCTCTGCTGCTGATTCTGTTCCTACTTGTCCGCTTTTTTAAATGCAAG